CCTTCACTTCCTTTTGCTTTAAGATTAAAAAAGACATGATCAAAGTGAAGTGAGAGATTTGAGACCCCTGAGAGGTAGAATGACCACTTCTAAGCTCCTTGAGTTGGAATCTAAAGAGTTGCTGCGCCTACACATCTGGAAAGGCATCTATCTAAAGCAAATGACTGATCAGTTTCCTGTGCGGAGCAATGCAAGCCAGTGCTGCTGTATTTATCTCCCTGGAGCTGTGTCATTGTATTTGTGTGTATTTGTATGCATCAGGCATTGAGTATCGCGTAAACAGTGACAGGACACTTCATCTTCTCGACTTGTGCAACCCGGTATGTGTCTCGTGCCACCGCGCCAGGGAGCCCTGGGTGGCTTCAGTTACTCATGCCATGTGTATACTTTAGCCAAACAAGGCCTAAGGACACTCCAGGGTGGTACAGAGGAAGGAGGGGCGAGGAAGCTAAAGGCGAGGTAGTGTGGTCCGATGGTTGAAGCCAGTGATTTAGAGGCTGTTGATACCGGGCAGACAGCCCAGGCTCAGTCACTGACTCACAGTAGATGACGCTGCATAAGTCACTACACTTAAAATGTCCTCATGTGTTTAGAAATGTTGAAGTGGAAATCAGGCGCGCTCACACAGCTGGAAATCGCTACTGGATCTGATTTTCTTGTTTCTCTCTCGCTTTTCCCTGAAGCTTTCATAAACAGATGGCAGAGGCTCATTAAGCTGTTGTCAGGACTATTAATGACATTGTGAACACTTTCCGAGCTCTGTATGCCTTAGGGCTTGCGATTGCCAAAGCTGGGCCATTAAAGAAGGTGTGAGAGTAACACAATGCTGCTGTGTGCTGCAAGGTGAGGGATGGAAGCCATGAAAGAAAAGTACACACATGGTTGAATGACTGTTAGCAGTGAGCTGACGTTAATGATTTCATGTTAGTTGTGGAGTTAAGAAAAATGGTTTAATGTGATGTGATTTCAGCGCTGTAGAACTGTTCAGATGCTTTGACGCTGCGAGGCTACATTGTATGTATTCTGTATGCATTGTAGTGCTCCAATTCTATGGTAGGGTAATGCGCTATAGTCATACTGTTAGATAAGTACTCGCCACTAGTCCGACTTTCAGATAATACCTTTGTGATACTTTACTATGCAAATTTACAAAAGGTTTATCAAACTCCTTCCAAGAGCCACTCTTGCGACTCTGGGTGGTTGTATTAGGCACAGCGGTGATTTCAGCTGAAAGCTAATATCCGCACGCTAACATGCTTACTATATAATTATCACTAAACCAAAGTATTAGACAAAGTGAACAAGTAAGACATTTTCACCCGATGATGGAAAAGTTCAGGAATCAATCAATTAATTGTAATTAAGTGATTGTAATATTATATAATATGAATATGCATAACAAATATCATTGCAATCCGGCCAATAGTTGTTGAGACATTTCACTCAAAGCCACACATGTGAATCCCGTGGTGGTGGTAGAGGGAAAGGTCTGGTGATCACCCAAGTCTCGAGGAGTCATGAATGTCTGTACCAACTTTCATGCCAGTTCATCAAATTATAATTGGGGTATTTCAGTTTGGATCAGGTTGGTGGGCCAACAGCCAGCCAGTCCACCATTACCGTCCACAGAGCCATGCTGCTAGGATCACTTGAAAACAGAATTGTCACAAACAGAGGTTGAATTTCTGATTCATAAATCATAGCAACATGACAACAGTTTAACACAAACTGATTCCAATTTTTACCATTATTTGGACAAGATGTTCTGTTCTGTTCATGTTAATACATAATTACTGAGTCAAAAAAAGGGCTAAAATTCTCACTTTTCTTGCAGCTCTACAGATGAATTCTGTTGGACCCACAGCTAAGTGTTGGCCACCTCTGACAACACTTGGAGACAACTTTAGGTGGACTTATGAACTGTGAGGTGTGAGGTAGTGGTTTTGCCAGCTTGGAATGGAAAAATTGAAAAAGCACAAATGGAGTTCTGTCATCGGTCCTGTTGTGTATGCTCGTGATTACAATGCTGAGTTATGAAGCAAACAACGCAGGAACAGAATGGACAGCAAGAACAGAGTAAGCTTTCAACATCTCCTCAGTCAGGGAAACAGTAGAGGCGGCAATGAGAGCTTGCAAAGCTCCAGACTCATGTTGTTGATCCTTATGTGGTCACACGCAAAAACCTAACCATCATCCTCCGGGATATCCTCTCAGAGGGTCAGACGCTGACTGTTTGAGAATTCCCCAACTGACCCTGCAGAAATAAAAAGGCAAAGCAGGTGGTATCTTTTTCAGGGAATTATCATCGTTAATATTTTATATCAATATCAATAATGAGTTACAAGGATAGTCTCTCAGCACCTGAAATGCTACGTGATGAATGTAATAAACCCAAATTAATTCAGATCAAGTATTGTGAGAGAAGACACTTGTACCGTATGGCTGTGTGCTTATTTCTTCGTGTGTGCGTGTGTGTGCTCTAAGCCTGCGCCTCACTAGGACTCTGTCAGCTTAGGACTGCGGTCTGTCGAACTGTGATTCTCTCTAATGGTCTATCTCTCCCAGCAGATGTACTCTTCTCTGCTCCACAGCTGCATCCCACATGTTTTCACGCTGTTCGACAATGCAGTTATATTCCTTTCTCTGCGAGGAGCTCGAGTGTTGGTGGTGGTGGTAGATTCCTTCTCTGCATATGGTCTTGTTCCTTCCCTCCTTTACATCCAGAATACTGCAGTAGCACTTTGGCTATACTTGGTCCTGAAATGTCTCCAGTTGGGTAACGTAAAGAATGTAGAGGGTGGGGGGTCAGATCTGGCATGGTCTGCCACGGCTTCATAGCACACACAGTCATTTCCATAATTGCCCACAATCAAACCAACCCCTCCTGGATTCCTCCCGCTCCAGATTCCTGTAGATAAGCTGAGCTGGGGCTCTGGTGTGTACCGGAGACCCCCAAGTAAGAACAGGTGCCGCTAATGTAACTGATTTCAGATTCTCTGCGTATCCTGCTGTTGTTTCTCCAGTAATTGCCATGATTGGACATTCCCTTTCGGATCGCTATCGTGAGACTTTTCTGAAGAGGGGAATGAAAGAGGATTCGTCCCACATTTGGTTTGGTATTATCAGGAGCCAAAGTAAGATGCCTTACAGTATGTTCAACTGTAGGGCATCAAATTGCTGCCCATTAGGTCACAGTGATTGATTCACATTGTAGCCGATTTTCCACTGCCTAACACTTGTAATTTGTCATTCTGCGGCTACCAGAATAAACCTTTTAGACTATATTTAGAAACAAAGTCAAACACCCATGACGCAGTTTGTGATGTAACATAATATTCTCCATTTTCATAATGTCAGCGTCTTGTGGAAATCTCCACGCCCCTCTCATAAGCTCAGTTATTTGAGAACTGATAAAAACCTATGGATCATTTTTCAAATATTTTTTTAAGACTTGGCTCACGTACATGGCCATGAGGTAACTCCACCATATGGATAGCAGCGGAACATGTATCCTTACTCATTATAAAAGTACCAATACTGCAAAGTATAAATACTCCACTACAAGTAAAAACCATGCTAAGTAAAAGCATAATATTAGAAGTGTACTTAAAGCAGCAAAAGTAAAAACTACTCAATATGCAGGAGAATGATACAGATAAGAGTTATATTATTATATATCATATTATTATATCATTATCACTGATGCACGATGATGTAATAATGTTAATTTTAACTACTTTATATAGCTACTGTTAAATGTTATAAACTTACCATATGGTTTGTGTGTAAAATCTGAATCTGCAACAGTGCAACGTTTTCCTCTGAAATGTAGTGGAGTGGAAGTATAAAACGCTCTGTATTACAGAACAAGTGCCTCAGAATTGTACTGACATACAGCTTTTACTGTAAATGTAACTGTACTTACTAATATGAAAGACATTTTCAGCTGCCATAGAAATTAAAAACAGAGAATGAGGTTTACATGACTGAGGTTTGTTGTCTGCAAGAGCAAAGAAAAGAAAATAGGCTTTTTTGTGCGTGTTTTGTTTTGTTTGATTAAGCAGGGAAGTAATATATTTATCCCTCAATTATTAGCCTACAAGTTACCAACAAATAAAATACAAACAATGGTCTGTTTACATCAAACATTTAAAGCTGAAGTGAGACCCTTGAGTAATAATTCTCTCTTGACTCCTCCGGTCGACTGAGCCTCTCTCTCTCTCTCACTCTCTCTCACTCTCTCTCCCGCCCCCCCCCTCCGTCCTCCGCTCTTACCAGGTAACTGTTTACCTCGACGTGGACGCGACTGTGGCCACATGCGCGCCCCCGCGAAGTCATACGTCACCGTGCTCGCTCCTCTTCTCGCGCGCTGGTTAAAAAGAAGGAGGAAAGCGCACGGGCAAACATGTGAGCGGTCTGAGGACTTTAGTGAGAGACAACTTTCATGTCTTATATGTGTTTTTTTGACCCCCGTGCATTGCACAAACCGCCGTGCTGTGCTTAAAAGGAATTACATCTAAAGGAACGTCACGGCTCTTTTGCAGTTCACGGTGTTTTGTTTTTTTTATGTGTGTGTTGAGGGGGGGGTGTTTCTGACTTTTTGTTGTTCATCAGGATAAATTGTGTTATTGTTTTTTGCTTTTATTTTATTTTTTCATTTTTTTCATTTTTTTTTTATTTCTGAGCTGTGCTTTATAAGCAGAAGCAACTATAATTTATTTTTTAAAACACCTTTCTTTATAGCAGTGAATCACATTTTAAGGACACCTGCTCTGACAAACTGCATATTTGTCATTTGTGTGTGTAGTAGTAGCAGTAGTAGTAGTAATTAGCTTCTGCTGCTTGGAGAAATATAGCCTAAATAAAACTATATATATATAAATATATATATATTACATTGCAGGTTAACCCCCATTCTTTTCAGAAAAAAAGAAGGGGTGTATTATCTAGTGTTTTTTATTTTTTATTTTTTGGGGTTGTATTTTCATATTTTTGTTTATTTTATATTTTTTTTATATGATTTTTTAAAAAAAAACACACTATGAAGCATTTGCAATTTGTGCTCGTCCTGGCCATCGCGGTCAACGTGTGGGAATGTGGGGACGCGAAATTCGGCGAGAGGGGAGAAATTAGCCCCAGGAGGAGAAGATGTTACGACGGAAGCTTGCCCAAGCGGCTGAAGAAAAGGGAGCGAAAAGTGTTGCTTGACGGCAGCAGCAGCAGCAGCGGAGAAGTTTGCCACAGGTTGTATCCCCGTGTGTCCTGCTGCCCCACCAGGAGAGCCGCCTATCAGATCCTGCACCGCAGGGACGCCAGGGTAGGTTTTTAATGCCCATCCACCGCGTTGTTGCACTTTCTTCAACTTATAGGGTTTTTTTTTTTTTAACTGCTTAAAAATCGCCTCAGGAGATGCATTTACAAGCCCTTGTTATTGTCATTCCGCTTACTTATTGCCGACAGCTGAGTTTTTTGGGGATGGTCAAGGGGGGGTTGGAAATTGCCCCCGGGGACTGTGCTGCCTCTGGTTGTCCCCATATAAAAGGTCTTATATTAACATTCCTACAGGGACATATAATTGTGTATGATTATATAATATAATTAAATAGAGGATGCAGTTACTATTACCTTTAGGTTCTAGGTTGTGACATGCTGTATCTCTCTGTCATTTTTTTATTACTGTTTATGTTTGTAGTGTCTTATAGCGTAATGTCTCATAGGCAACTTCAACTTATATACTAATATTAACTTTAACTTGCTCGTATTGGGGCTGCGTATCCTCTCTGCGTGGGGTTTACCTGTTTCCTCTTAGCTCACCTGGTCTGAAATGTTAAAACACGTCCAGGTGTTTCATGTTGTTTACCGGTTGTGTCGCTTTACACAATCATTTCAGCTGTCCGAACGCGCTTCTGCGTTACCATGGTAATCACTCGCCGTTTTACGTTACTTCTCGCCAGTCTGTTATAACGGTCAGACGAAAGCTAAAAAAAAACAACAGTTGCACCGTTTACTCGAAAAGGTCCGGTTGTACCTTTTCTTTTTTCTTTTTTTTTTTTATCAACCGTCGACCCCTTTTTTATTCACCGCAGCCGGGAGCAGACACTGAACTGTTTTCGTGTCGTCTGCTTTCGGCGTCAACGTACGGGGATTCATAACGTTTGCCGTTGAACGTGCGAACGTTAAAGGGAAAAGTTCCACATATCTACCGGGCTCGCGCTTTTTACGTAACGCCGTTGACCGTTATGGCGTTGAGGGAAGTGGTAAACAAAAATAAAAATAATAATACGTGTTAAAATGTTAAGTTAAGCCAGGGTTTTAAACTTCTGCTCAGTTTCCGTGTCGGGGGCGGACGGACGGACGTACGGACGG